ACGAAAGAGCTGTAAAATGATACAGCCAGATGTCAGGAATATAACCTAAATCAGAGCCTTTTTGTTTTGTTTTTAAAATAACTGAAGTGACTGCCTTTAGAATACAGACACATGTAGAAATAGAGTGGCAATATGGATAAACTTATCTTCTAATTTTATACTACAGATTAAGTAGTCACTACTCTTAGCTTTAACAGAGGACCTCCAGAAATAAGTTCCTGGACATTTAGTGTCCTGGGAATCTAATCCTCACACACCAGACACTAAACAAAATTTAAAAAATCAAGAAGAGCATTGCATTTTAACAGCTAGATATTTATAATAGATAATCTGCAGCTAACACCTGCATTTTCTCTCTGATATGTTTGGCTTATTTAAGATCTAAGCTTAATATTCCCAATCATCCACGGTAATTTCCCTTGCCTCCTTTTTGATCACTATCAGCTCCAACACTGAATAAAAAAGCACCTGCACCTACTAAATACTAACAACCAGATAAAGCCAATACATTCTGCTTCACCTCTAAAAATCCTAATAGCTCTAAAGCTTTCAAAGATTAATCCGTTCAGACTGGGATATCCTGCCACAAAGCTCATTCATTCATGACTTAATATATTCACTAGGAAAAAGTAGGAAAGATCATTCTGACAACACATGTGGAGTACAACGCTACTTACTTTGCCTTGAAGTAAAATGGCATTTTAAATTAAATAGTGATTCTTAAAAGTTACTTTTTAAATATATTTTCATTTTTATAAACTTACACAGCCAAGAAAGGGTAGGAAAAGCACAAATTGTGCCTTTCAGATCTGGGTGATTCACTATTTAAAGGAAAAAAAGTCTAGCAACACAGGATTACAGAATCGCTGGGAGGTGAAAGGAACCTTTTGAGACCACCTAGTCCAACACCCTGCTCAAGGAAGAGTAGATGAAACAGGCTACCCAGGACCCTATCCAATTGAGTTGGAGACTCCACAACTTCTCTAGGCAATCTGTGCCAGTGTGTGATCACTGTCACAGTACAAAAACTGTTTTCTTGTGTTCAGATTTGATTTCATGTTTTTCAATCTCTGCTCATTGCTTATGGTCCAACAAATGTAGATGCTCTATGTGGTGAAAGCCTCTGAGATTTTCCCACTGGTTGGAACAGAACAAAGTTTTAATGCCTAAACTCTCAATGGTGATCACCCTTCATGAAAAGTAATACATAGCTGTTCGACAGCACTGTAATCCAAAATGTTGCTATTTTAGCCAGATGCAGTAATAGACGGACAGATGTTTTATTAGCAGTGAAAAAAAATAACTTTTTTTGCATAATCTGCTGCTACCTGGAATGGTTATTACTGAACCAAGCTGTGAATGACTGACATCCAGTCCTTACAAGGTTTGGGAGCTGACCTTAACTGTGGCTCAGTTAGGTCTCCTTTCGTGCAGTGGTGCTTACACCTCTACTCTGCAGGGTCCTGAAGGGGTGATAGGGTTTGGAACAGCCTTAATGCTTTTTCTTAAGTCTTAATCATTTCATGTGAAATTTCAGAAGTTCCATGGGCTCTAAGAAACAGCTCCAACAGTAATCTCAGCACATTCAAAACTGTCCCAAGTGTACCTATAACATCAAAAGCAAGAAAGACCAGACCTTTGTCAGAAATGCTGAACACAGGCAGCTGATCAGGTGCCCTTCTCAAATTCTCGCGCTCACAGAGATTTAAACACAACTCTGTGTTAGTTTAAACATGCAAGGCTTTTAAAAGTTATTGACACAACTACCACTACAGTTTCTCTTCTTCATCCATGTCTTTGAAATCAGTACTTTGCAGCTTGCAGATCCAGACTTTGACTCCTTTCATTAAGTATTGTAATGGAAGTCAAAAAAGACGAGAAAGACTGGTAAAGGAAGCAAAACAGTTCTTGCTGTTCTCAACAGGATGTGGACACGAGCTGCAGGAATTCAAGATGGATCCTTGCAGGAGGACTACACCAAGAATGTGAATATATAGAAGTGTTCATGCTCCTGTTTATACAATTACAAAAACTGTAGGATTCGGCACAGCATTTTGATACAAAACTAAGACTAATGTCAAATAAGTATTTTTGTGCCTTCTTGCAAGGGCATTTTCTGCAACACATTTTGCATTTCTTTTAATATTATATAGGTGAATCACATGCAAAAGAAACAACTTTTAAAATCCAGAAATTTAAAGGCTTGTAACTTTCTCCTGGAGTGGATGTTATATATCATCCTTAATGTTCCTGGCCTGTCCCTCCTTCCCTGGGAAAGCAGGAACCGTTTTAAGCCAAATTCACATCTGCAGTGCTGTGATTTGGATTTAGTGCACAACAAAAACAATTATCAACCCTCTCAAATCTATAATTTCTCCATGATTATAAATATCTTAGAGGTTTAGCAAGATGCATTCCAGGATTATGTATGGTTCTCTATGCAAACAACATAAATTACGAATGATATCCCAATCTAGCTTGTTAATACTTCAAGAAGTAAGATGACTTAGATCCATATAACAAGACCTTAGGCTGATAGAGAAAAAGAAAAGACCTTGTGTATTTTGAAGTCATAAAAGAAAGATGAAGTGATGAAACTAGAACAGCAGAAAAATATCAGAGCTTGGGAACAGCTTAAAAACATCTCAGGGTTCATTCTCAGTGCTATCCCATTCTGACATTTCCTGAGTTATCTAAATATTTATATATGTATTTCTTCTGACATTCAGCATGTTCCAAGAAAACACTCCTGGAAATGGATAGATTTTCAGCAAAATGATAGACATTTTGAAAGTGCACACTGATTGATGTACTTGCCTACAAAAATGTAGTCTAGGACATGGCAAAAGATAGTGGAAGTCTAGATTTTTGTCTCTCATGTGTGACTTATGCTATGTGGTCATTATCACAAGACATTTCAGATAAGTATGAAATAATCTCCATAAATCAAGAGAGGATTTTGGTAAAGAGAAAATTATGCACAATTCCCTTTATGTATGACAACGTGTATAACACATTGTTGTTATTGTCCTCCTGTATCCCATCTCCCTTCTACTAGTTCACTGTTACTCCTTGCGTTTTGCTACAGGGTGATGCCTCCTCTTTCACAAGGGCTAGATCTTTCCAAGTCACTAGAAATTCATGCCAGAGAAGGTCATGGGGAAAAGACTGGATTCACCTGAAGCCAAAAGATAGCAATGGAAGAGAATCACATTAACCTCTGTGGCCGTCACTGAGGAAAATGAACCCTGGCTGTCCCCTGTCATGCTTTCCATTTCTGAAATGTTCCTCACTTGTGTCAGCTCTCACACTGACTATGACATGATTTTGAAAAACTTTCCACAAAAAAAAGTGTGAGATATTTGGCAGGAGGAACTTAGAAGTACCCTGTAAATTGAACCCAGTTGCTGCTCTGAGAGTTTTAATAGATTTCAGGATCGACACACTTGAAATCTAGAGACAAGTTTTGCAATCTTAGAGATCAATGCAGAGGTACTGATGGGTATATAGTGGCCCACTTACAAGAATATGTAAATACCTAAATTAAGTCTGTTCAAAGATTTGAAATAATGCATTCAATAATATGACTTCTGACTATTACTGCAAAAGGCTAATAATTTGAAGTTTTAAGGCAATTCAAAGATTTGAAATAATGCATTCAATAATATGACTTCTGACTATTACTGCAAAAGGCTAATAATTTGAAGTTTTAAGGCAATTTAAGTGTAAAATTGAAAACAAATAATTTATTGAAAAAGTTGCATAACTCTTTTCCTTGTGTATAGGATTCTCCAGTAGAAACAAACTTTCGCAATTCATTATCCACATTTTGCTAAGCCACGTTCATATTCACAAACAAAACTGTTGTGGTAGCCATGGCTGCAGATTTGACTGTCTTACAACACATTCACTGCATTCTGCCTGCATTAGATTCCTTGATTTTAATGGAACAGAAAACAAACCTTGAAAAAAATATTATCTATCATTCATTATGCACATCAGTAGGAGACTGGGAACACTCAAGTAACATGGTGCTATGAAATGAGCTGAAGAACTTGCAGGGATAGCGGTAAATCAGAATGACCAATCCAGTGAAGAGATTTTGCAATAGATTCTCTACTGTTTCTGGATTAAACATGGTACTGGTAAATCTGAGCTGGTTTTTCATGAAAGTATATAAATTGCTTCCAGAGGTGAAATGACTCGAAACAATATAACCAGGAGGTACCTGAGCCGATAAACCATGTCAGTTCTGCAGCTGGCTCTGTACAGGGCCAGATCTGTCTCCATGATTAATTAAATAACAGCACAAATATCCTGACCATTTGTAATCAAGAGCTGCCTGCACATGAATCACAAAAATATTTTATATCTACTCATTAAAATTACAGCAACCAATGGCACAGCAGGGTATTTAGTCTTGGATGTGTGACAAGCAGGTGCTGATGTAGCTGGTGGTCTGAGGTGGCCCATTAGCCCAAGGCACAGGGAAACACACTCATGATTCAGCCAGTGCAGTATTGGGGCCAAAAACGCCTGAATCCCACATACAGACTGCCCATCCTCTTGCCTTGGTCTGACATGTTGTATCTCCAGAGCTATCACAGCCTGGCAAACTAAACTTTAGGCAGGATCCAACAATAAATCTAAGACTGTCACAAGACTTTTATTTCAGATTAAGAGTCATTTATCTTTGGGAAGTGAAATATGTGTGCAATTACTATGAAACATGGTAAAATCCATTTCAGTTATTTGACATCACCATTAAGCCTCATAAAAGAAAGTGAAGATGTCAATTAATTATATTTCCATGAAAAAGACAATACCAATAGTGTTTTCACATTTTGCAGGTGGCTCCATAGCAAGAACCCAACTATTTTTTTTATTTGCTATCAGCATTAGTGGTATCACAGGCAGCACAATGCCATGTATGTAGACATCTGTAAATGTACCAGTCAATTAGAAAGTGTAATTAAGGAAATGAAAGGAATTATACTCACCGGGCTTTACAAGGCTTGTCTTTGTGTCCTTCTTATATCGAGCCAGCTGTATGTTCCCTTCACTCATTGACCCTGGACTGAATTTCTTCCTGGAGAAATCTCCATCGCTACCAGTGCAAAAACTGATTGGACTTTTTCCAGCATCAGGAGGAGTCTTAACTGGAGATACTGACTGGCTACTAGGACAGCCAGTGTCATCTGAAGAGAAAAGGGAAAACATCAACATTTTTAACTAATAAGTACATTAAAGTTAGCAGAATAAAAGGGAGTGTTTGAACTACAACTCTTTACAGTAAGTGATACACACAACCTTGCCTCTGAAACCTGGTGAGAAGCTACTTGTTTCACCTATTTTGTGAAGAAGACTTGAATAACTTATGGCAGACTAACAGGGCAAGTATTTGTTTTGCTAAGTCTGACAAAATACAAAATCAGGGGCTACCTAATGAAAATTCATATCTAAGATTAATTCCTTTAGCTAGGTTAGGGAACATTATAGCATGAAAATACATGAGACACAAAAATGCACTGGGTAGTGCATGCTGGATGCAGGGCAAGTATGGGCCACATGCTCTCCTTCAAGAAGTGTTCCCCTATCTGAACAACAGACACAAAAGAACAACCTACAGCCCATATGCAAAAGTCAGGAATTTCATTTAACTGGAATTAATAAGGGTTCCTCAAAATTGTCTTTCCTTTAAAAGCAACTGTGAACACAGAACTCTTCCATTCTTGACCAAGTGTCTGTGTGGTACCTAGTTCTGAAGAGAGTGGGTTATACACAGGCTGCTTTTGTTTAAAGCTGAATTCCTCTGAGGGCACACCAACGCTCCAGGGCATCAGCAGCTACCTAGGGAACAGACCCGAGTTCCTGACCTCTGGGGAAACAAACACTCCAGCTCTTAAAAATTGAATGCAAAGTAAAAAGCCTGATTCTAAATGAAATCCACACATCAAACCCCTGCTTCATCTAATCACATCCCCTGTAATCTGGAGTAATCGCGGTTCCTCTAAAAGTCATGGTGGTTAAGTGATACACAACAAAACCAAACATACTACTCTGACTCTCCTGGAAAAATGTAAATACTTGCTCTTTCCCAGGACAAAATGAAAGCTGTCATCTAAATTATGCAATTGCAATCTTCTCCTGGTGCATTATCTTTACCTAACATGAAACCCAAAGAAGTACCTGCAACTGAGCCAAGTAATTTGCATGACCATATTGCACTTACCACTTCCACCCTTTTCATAATTTAGGTCAAGCTTCATCTTGCACTGAGTTTTGCATGGGCAGATTGATTTAAAATTCAATGTATGACTGCGCATTTATGAGGCGGTCCCATATCTATCTAATACCTCCCTGCCCACCTCCCCTCTGCAGGAAAGAGCAGCTTTTGCTACTGTTAACTACTGCTCCCTCAATACAGTAGAAAAACCTCATCCTTCCATGTGATCCAATTTTCCTTCATGACTGGCCAGTTATTCTACCCCCACCCATCTGTTTCAATGTTCTGCTTCCCATTTCTCCATGTCCTGCCTCCAGTCCTGAGCAAGGCGCACATGGGTGCTGACCCTCCAAAGCAGAGCTTGTAGGAGCAGCCAGCACCCTGAGGTGCTGCATCCCAGGTCTCTGCCAAGTGTCAGGCATGATGCCAAGCCATGGGGCAACCCAGCCTACTGCCAGAATCATTTCCCAAGGCACAAAGGACAGTAAGAATGCAAAGCACCTAATACAGCTTAATCATATTTAATTCTTTCAAATCATCACAATTAAGCCAACAAGCATCTCCTTTTGCCATCTTGCTGCTGCCTTCTGCAACTCAGAATATGTCCCTAGCAAAATAACAGGAAATAGAAGACTGCTAATGAAGTTTTCAGCCCATCCTCACATTCGTCCTGACTGGATTGCCGCCCAAAGGATTTTAGTTTACTTTTTATCCTTTCCAGTCCCATAAACATCACAATATAATTCAATACAGAGAAAAGAGAAGGTGACAATTTCCTCACAGATAGGCACCCATTTCCTTTTCTCCAGGGTTCAGAATCTCTTCTGCAGGCAGACTGAATGCTACCTACAGGGCAGTCGATCAGCATTGCTGAGTGAGCTTCTGAATTGCATTTAACAGCTTCTTTAGCTATGTCCAAAGCATCCTCACTTTAGAAGCATTTAAGCAGCTTCTTTAGCTATCTCCAAAGCATCCTCTCTTTAGAAGCACACAAATATTTGTAATCAAATATACTCAGAAATTAGTGACAGTTTGTGCAGTTTATTTTTAATTTTGACTTTTCCATTCAGATGTTTCTTGTGTTAAAACAAAAAAACCAAACAAAAAAACCCCTGCAACAAACTATTTACTTCATCTCTCCACCAATAAATTTACTGTGATACCTGCACATGTTCTGCAGACCTCACAGATACGTTTTATATGGGAGATTTTATATACAAGTAACTTCCAAAGCTATAGAGATGCTACCTGGAAGAACCGCAGGGGCTGATAAAACTTTAAACAATGAAAGAAATAACAGTGTTAAGAACTGAGACATTAAAAAACCCAAATGTGTAAAACTAACTGAAATAATGAAATAAGGTAGCTAAAGAATGAATACAAAAATAGCATAAAAATATTTTATTTTCCACCTGCTGACATTGCCTCTGATATCATACTGGTGACACTGTGCCATCAGATTATGTCATATCTACATATCCTTGTTTTACCCTTAATAACTTCAGCTCAGCTTTCATTTCAATGGGGCACTTTTTAAAGTAACAAATGAGCCTGGCACAAAGAAGAACAGCTCTTCTTTATTCGTATCCCTCGTGACCTTTAGATACACCAAGAACCAGGTGAGCACTCCCACTCCAGCTGCAGTAAATGAATGGTTTTGTTGTACTCCCTCTCCTCTGATCACTTGTTATTTTTTATGTAATGTACATCTTCTACTCCTTCTACTTTGTATTAGCCAGAAACATGAACAAAATTATAAATTTTCTGAAACTAGGGCAAGCTGCAGGGAAACATTTTTGTACGTCAGCCTTTTGAATAATCCAAATGTTTACTACAACAGAAAAGAAGAGCTGCCTACGAAATGCTGGTGCTCACCAACAAAGGCAAGCAAAGCTCTGCTGAACACTGGGGAGATCCACCTCCCACCTGACCCATAACTCACTGTCCTGGCACAAGGAAAAGTCCTGGTGAACAGTGAGGTGCTCTCCAGCTGTTCACATACCTGCACATATCTCTGTCCTTCCCTGCTTCCTTCCTGTCCTCCTATCAAAGCCTTAACAAGTATTTATTTGTATTTAATGCTGTAGGTGAACTCTCCCCCACAGGAGAGCAGCAGACTTCCCTGTAGACCCTGACAGCACATCAAGCTGATTCCCCTCCATCTCACAGCCAGCTTGACATCTGCCCTGCTCACTGCTGCAGTGAGCACCTCTGCTCCTCATCTGTACACAGAACGATGCAACTGCGGCACTGTGGGCTCAGTATTTCCAGCAGACCTGTAGGTTCCTCTAAAACCCTGCTGACAACTCTGATGGAAGGAGGTGAAGACCTCCACCTGCCTGCAAAAGGGACAAGATAAGGAGTCTTTCTCCAAAAATAGGGTAACAGGAGCATATGAGCCCACAATGGGATTCACTTTGTGCTGAAGATACGATATATTTCTAATTTTCAGCAAGGTCAGCTAAGGATTTAGTCCTGTAACTTGGCAGGAGTTTTGCCCCAGTAAGGATTTCAGGTCCAGACTTCTCAGGACTACAGGTAAACCTGATTTACCTTCTCAGGCACATGAGCATCAGGAAGACAAAGGAGAGAAAATTGGCAAATAGTGTTGTGAAAGCCTGTACTTCTGATCTTGCCTGAATTATTTACTTGCACAAGAAGGAAAATGACATAAATTTATAACGTACAACTTTCATTGCTTTCTTTCATGGTGTCTTTTTTCCCCAGTGGCTCCTAAGAGCGTTCTGGGAGTAGGCTTTTTCTTTGAACATCAGCTGGATTTCATCACTGAAGTTCTGTGTCCAAGCCCTCTCCCAGATCAGACACGCCTGCCAAGTTTCAAAGCCAAGCATGGGATAGTGTCTCCTCGCACAAACAATCAGGAAAGTTGCTCAGAACACTCTGACATTTGCATGCACTGACTAACTTTTAAATAGCAAAGTCAAAATATAAACAACGGAGTGAAAGATAATACTATTAACAGCTGACAAATATATTGTTCTTATAGACTTTTAGGCTATATGTTTTGACTTGATGATTTTCTCTGATTTTCTGGGCACAGAGACTTTAGAAGGTTCACTGGAAAATCCTTAGAACATTCTTAAGAAAATTACTGCCTTTTCCTAAAGGCTTCAAGAAACACTGAATATATAACCTCCTTATATAACACATCCAAATAATTAATGATGCTCTCACTGAGGAAGCGCTGACTTCTTTCTGCTTTCACTCTTAGCTGCCAGATCTAGTTAGGCACTCCTGGGAGACTGAACTCTCCAGTTTCTACCTGATCCCTATTCCACTGCCCAACTTTCATTTCCTTCTAGGGTTCTCTTGACCAATGTTCAGGCTGTACATACTCTGAATTTCCACCAAGAAATGTGGATTCCAGAATTAAACATGTGACTCTAATGAAATTTTAAATATTCAGCGTACCAAGACAAAACCAATTTCCTGGTGGTTCCCTTTCCATTCATCCCAGGATCTGTTAGTTGGGGTAGCCACAGCTCTGCCATGATGGTGCACTGTAAGCTGGCTTTTGACAGTGAGGGTACCACCATGGGTATTTCAGAATTTTTCAGGGTAATCTCCCAGCCTGCTTGTCTGCCTCACATTTTTTGACCCCCTACAAATGCTTTGGTCTTCTTTTCATGATTGGTCTTGTACCCCAGAGGTGTTTTATGCAACAATAGAAGTTGCTGACGGACACCAAAGCTTTCACCTGTAAGGCTCTTTCTGTATTAAACAGAAAGAAAGAGGCTCCCCTGGAGAGTGAGTCATAAGGACAGACTAATTCTGAGTCACTGCCTGGAGGATCTCTCCTCTCTCCATGGACTAGCCCAACCACTGCTCTGACTTGGGCAGCTGAACCAGTGAGGGCTCACTGCCCAGGCAGAAAACAGTGCTAATGGAAGACTCACAGCGTCCTTCTGTAATAACTGGGAAATGCAGTAAAAGTAGCAGATGAAACATAAC